AACTGACCGTTCTAGTCAGCAAATTTCAATGTCCACTAGTGATGTGGCACTACAATATTTGGCTATGTCTTGGCTTCTTTAATATTATTTCTGTTAAATTTTTGCGTGTTTTAGCTGGCATCAATGGCTTGACCATTAAAGGGAGGCCAATATTTAAACGAGACTTAATTTTCTAATTATGAGTGGTTGTTTGTTTTGTGAGCAATAAAATAATTTTTAACGATACAATAGCAATGATTATTATTTTAAAAAAAATTTGTTAGGCTTAACATCGTTGAAAATTCAATGCAAAGTTGGTTAATAGCGATATACTAATATACTAATTACATGGAATATACTAATATACTATAGTAATAATGTATTTTTTTTCATTCTTTTCAGTTATCCGCTCAACCTGAGTCTCCAATTGAGTTGGATAATCGATGCTCTACTGTATTTTTAATTATGTTTGAAATTCACATTCCAATTTTTTTTTCAATATTATCTGTCTTATAATTTCTCCATTCAGAAATAAATTATATCAATGATATTGTCTTCCAATTTTAATGGTTTCATGGCAAAACAAAATCATTTAATAGCATTCTCATTTGATTTTGGATGCTCATTACAGAATGCAATTATTCTAAATCTTTTAAAAATTGACAATCTAAAGGCAAGCTATCTTGCAAAAAGCCACTTATTGTAATTAAACATTGTCTCTCATTTGATAATCGAGATTTTTTAAATCATTTTCAGGCAGCACGAAATGTATTTTTTGTATAGTTGTACAAATTTTCATTTTTTTCCAAGATAAATATTCTCCACATTAATCAGTACAATTACTTTCAATACTTTCAAAATTTTTTCATTGCATTCTATAAGTTCTGGTTTAACAAAATGTTTAAGAATATTATAGATAAGTTCATTTGATTTGTTGTGACTGAAAAATTCAAAATAAGTCTAAAAACTGGATCTATAAACTATAAACAAATATGAATGTGCATGCACTTTTTAAGCCAGTATTAATTCATTTGTACCTTGACTGTGTTAAAACTTCTTAAATGTTTTTATTTTTAGGTAAGAAATAAAGAAAATATTTATTGAAGACCTTATCTTAACTACTAATTAAACCTTTAATAGCTGGTAAAAATTTTTAATTAAACAAGCATTTTCAGCTACTTTTAGTAGCCATCCTCAAGTTACAAATTCAAAAAAAGTTCTAGAAAATTGATATGGATATAAAAGTCATGTGATTTTGAACAAATTTAGATTAAAATTACTAAAATTAATATAATTAATAAAACACAGTCATAACTAAGCAAATTATTAATATATGTAGATATGAAAATAAAAGTAATTACAGAATTTTTTAATGAAATAGGGCATTACTTTCTTGTGTAAAGACTACATTTTTAAGTTCAGATACAATTTGTTCCCAAAAGTCAATCTATTCCATAGTTAAAAAATTTCTGTAAATTCCATATTGTCACCTAATAATGATATCATCTTTTATAGTTGTAAGTTTTAATCTGAAAGGGTTGTGGTCATCTATTTGATCTGAGTTTTCAATTATCTGAGATGTGTAGCATCAGTCTGCATTACCTCACCTAATCAAATATTCTACTGTACTTAATAATTATAATCATTTAAATGAAATGACACATTATTTCAATAAAAAACATGGCAGTGGCACTGGGAACAGATAAATCAAGAAATTTTTGTTGAGTAGTCTATATTGAGAACTAATGAGTGAAGCTTGTGGGGTAAATGAGCAAAGCAAGTGAGGAGATGGGCCAGTCAAAGTAGTCAGGAAAAAATAGAAACAGAAGCATCAGGAATCAATAAATTGTAACAAAATTTTTGAACAAGCAGGTGAAGCCCTTGAAGCAAGCATGCAAAGCTAACCACAGAATTGGAATTTTTTTTCTGTGGGACACTCAGGAAGAAACAAGCTACAATGTTCAACCATTTAAAAAATTTGTTCTGGAATCTGAAAGCTGTACTGTTTCAAATTTTATCAAAAAAATCTGAAAGGAAAGTTAATTGTTTTTTATGTGACTTAAATAAAGCTGTGTTTTTCCAATTAATTTGTATGTGGAATTGCATTTTGAAATGGACTTTTTTTGGGCTACTGATGATCAACAAGTTGTCTGTCAGAGAATAAGCATCAACATTGCCACTGCAGTTTCACCAGCAACTGTATGGAAATGAGCTTAGTTTATGTTACAGAATCCTTACTCAGAGTGAGGATCAAATTTTATTAATGCCTTTGCTTAAAATTAAAGGAAAAACAAAATCATAGTTTGGATGAGAACAAGAGGTAGGTCACTGGTCATGTTGATGTCACCTTTGACATCAAAATGACCAGTGAAAACATCCACAGTATATTGAAAAAAAAAAAAATTATTACAACAACAACAACAACAACAACAACAGAGACAGTCGACATCAATAGTAGTAACTTTTGTTTTTACTACTGCTACCAAGTTTTGATCATGTTGGAATATATATATAGGCCATTATTTAGACATAGACATGATTCACTCAAGATGTATGTTGAAGGCTGGTATCAGGATTCAAAGTGAAAGTGAAATTAAAAATGTTGTTTAAAAAGAAATTTTATAAAAACAGATTCTTTTCATTAAAATTATTATTGAAATTTTTATGAGTAATCTTTATTGGGAATAAGTGAGTGAAGCCTGTAGAGTAAGCAAAATAAGCAGATTGAGCCACTCAGAGGCCAGAGGGCAAAGATCCCTTGTATGTTATAAAAAAAATTTCTTCAGATAACGACATAGTATGTGATTATATTTAAACTTATTTCTTTCTATTCATATAAAGGTAGCATTATCTTTTATGTAATATAACATGACAACATGGAAATGTTAGTTTGACAACAGATTTAATTTTATACAATTTATATTTCTCTCAGAATAGCAATTTTTATAAACCAAAGTCCAGTGTATTTATTGATTCCTGCTATCAATATTCAGACATGAGCAGATACTTGAATATCAAAATATTTAATTTCCCAAATAATAGCAATGTAACTGTTATCTGTCAGACTCCACATATCTGATTATTTGAGTATATAACAGGTACCCAACATCTAGCACTAGTAACAACTGTCTATATTGGATAATTGCTTATATACTCTTGAAGCTATTACTAGATTTCTGTAAAGAATTATGATTAATACAAGTTCAAACCAGAATTTGACTACCAATTTTTTGTAATAAATTTAATTATAATTAAAATATATAGCTTTTAAATGCTTTAAATTATTAATGTAATGTCTATAATAATACAGTTCACTTCAAAATTACAAACAAACACGCCCACCTTTTTCAATAACAAAAACAGTAATGTGTTTTATTATATTAGTATATTGTTTACAATATCAATTTAAACGTTTTTTGAAATTTTTACAGCTATCTGACAATTACAAAAAGAATTATCACAGATTTTCAATTTTTGACTGTTTCAAAAGTATAAACATGGGTGCATAAAATTAGTATAATGATTTTTTTTATTAATTATTGGTTTAATTAGTTGTCACCAGAGGATAGTATCATTCATTATGACAAATGTGGTGCCAATTTTAAACAGTTTTTTTTTTTAATTTAAAACAATTCCTCATGGAAAAACACTAACAGAGTGGAAAATACGTTAAATTTACCAACTAAAGGAAACAGGACAATCTCTAAGACAAATTTTGGTAGCCATAAATTGATTTACATGTGCTGTGAGAAATGTGTTAACTCAGGGTGAAAATTATGACAGAAATAAGTGATGTGGAAGGTCTTACACCTAGAAATGAAAAAGGTTTTTTTGACTACTGATGGTCAACAAGTTGTCTGTCAGAGAATAAGCATCAAGATTGCCACTGCAGTTTCACCAGCAATTGTATGGAAAAGTATGCATAATCATAAAAATGCCAAATTTATAAAAGTTGCTGTCAAACTGAAATTAACACAATTGCACAAAACAGCTAGATTAAAATGGGCCAAAGACAAAATGACATGGAAAGAGGAATGAAAACAAATAGTCTTTTCAGATGAAAAAAAAAAATGGAATTTGGATCACCTGATGGTTATAGTCATTACTGGCATGATTTGAAGAACAAAGAAGTCAGAATGAGCAGACTGCAAGACGAGGTCTCCGTGATGGTGTGGATTTTGATGGGAGGGGTGTAAAACAGACATTATATTTATAGAAGAATGAATTCAGAAAAGTATCAAGAACTGTTGTATCAAAATTTAATAATTTTTAGATCACTTATTGGGCAAGAAAACTGGTAATTCCAACAGGATAATGCTGCCATTCATGCATTAAAGTCAACTAAAAATTGGTTTGCTGGGGGGAAAAAAATGTAATTGATTGGCCATCACAAAGCCCTGATATGAATTTGATAGAGAATATTTGGGGTATTATAAGTCATCTCGTTTATGGCCAAAACAGACAATATAACATTATAAATGAACTGAAATTAGCTATCACAGATTGTTGGGAAAATCTTAAACAATAACAATTTCAAAAACTAGTAAATTGTATGCCTAATAGAGTATTTGAATTAATTAAATCAAATGATAGACCTACAGAATGTTGAGACTTCACAAATCATTTTTTATGCATCTGTGTTTATACTTTTGAAACCGTTACAAATTGAAAATCTGTGATAAATTTTTTGTAATGCCAGACAGTTCTAAAAATTTCAGAAAATGTTTAAATTAATGTTGTAAACAACATACTAATATAATACATACATTACTATTGTTAATGTTTTTGTTATTGAAAAGTTGAGTGTGTTTATAATTTTTAAATGGACTGTATATTTCAAGTCTAAATAAAAAAAAATAAAAAAACATTTTGTCCAAAATACAATTATTTTTTTAAACTGAAAATTCCATTATATAGAAGTTCCATTGTACTTGCTTGTTTGTTTCTTCTTCTTAGTAATAAATTTAAAATTTCCAGATTTTTTAAATCTTTAGTGTATAAATGATCTTATTTAATTTAATCTTATATTTAGCCTATGTAAATTTAGTTACCTCTTCCAGAAGAAGATCCTCTGTTACCAGATTTCATCTCTTTATTCCTTTTAAGATCTTCCATTTCCTGCTTTGATAAAGCTTTTTTTACTTCAAGTCTTTTGGATTTCACTACATGGTGGCGTTTTACTGTAATTTAAAAATTATGAATTAACTATAAAGTTCACATTTTTTCCTAAAAGTTTTGAGGATTTTATTCTAACATTGTTTTATTTTTTGCATTTCCAATATTTTAAATTATTTGAATTCATAAATAAAAATATAATTATTGCAATATGATTTCAAATAAAGAACTTACTTTGATTTCATTGATTTTAATGCATTTTAACATTAGATTTTAACAGTTTTGTTTAATGTTAAATCATGTATCTCATTTTCACTACATTCTAAGACAAAAACCTTTGTTAAAAATATTGCAATTTACATTTTCTGTTGAAGATTACAATTGAATTGAGATTATTGCAATTTTGAATGGATAACCCATACTGGTACATAGCCTGCATAAAATTTCTAAAATGAAAGTAAAATTTTTGCATAACCCACCTATTTACTCTAAGATAACACTAACCTAAACACTGATTATAATAAACAAATTCACTTATATATTTTGGACCAAGTTAATTTAATTAAGTTAATTCTGATAACATTAGACAACATGAAAATTCTGATAATTACAATAGGAATAAAAAAGTGGACAGTATATTAGTTTTTGGAATACAGTATAGTTGTTTTTACCTTCCCATTTTTGACTGCCATATGTATATCCAAGAAATGCACTTGTTTTAATAAAGAAAAGAAATTTCATTTCCTTGATATACATATGGCAGTAAACAATGGGAAGGTAAAACTATATTCCACAAATCAACAAACTGCCAATGATTACAATAACCAGGTTCCACTGTGTGTAATTTTTAAACTTTTTATAAACTTTGTGTTCATAAAAATATAAATACAGAATATACTTACATACAATTTTATCAACTGGATCATAGTCATCAAATTCAAGAAAAGCAAAACCTCGTTTTTTTCCTGTTTCTTTTTCAGTAACAATAGTGGCACTAAGAAGATTTCCAAATTGACTAAAATATTCTTTTAAATCTTCTTCCTCTATTTCTTCCTTTAATCCTCCAACAAAAACTTTCTTAACAGTTGCCTGAGCTTCTGGTTTTCCAGCTTCCTGAAAAATTGTATTATTAATTCCTTTTTTCCCCCCTTCAAATATATTTCAATATATTTATAAAGTAATATTTAAATAAAATGAGGAGCATTAT